GGTCACTGACAATTACAAATTCTGAGTGATTCTGCATGCCTGAAGATGAGATCCTAGTGTATCAAAGTATGTATCTTTGTCATGAAAATATATTTTAATATGCATTGTCTCAAAGCAGAATGAATACTGGGAGAAAAATGTATTTACAGCCCATTAGGGACATGTGAAGACCTTGGAGTCTTGCACCCAATAAAAAGATGTGCCTCACCTGGGTTGTTCACACTACTGCAAATGCACAAGTCATTTGGTGCTATTTTGTTTAGTTTTATTTTTCATACATTATAATCAAAGCTCCCATGTCACTAGAACATATGCAGTACACAAGAGCAGCACACAAGAGCAGAATGCAGCACACAAGAACAGAATTAGGGCTTTAGTTTTTATATAGTGGACACTGTTCCAAACAAATTACACTTCCCTGGCCATATTTTGAAGGTATTGTGTGGTAATGACACTGCTTCAGTAAGTTTTGTACAGTGGCACTCTCCCCATCTGTCATGACAGCATTAGTCTTGGCATCTCTGGTGAAAGAATCAAAATTAAAAGGGAGAGGGAAAAAAAGTCAGTTTCTAATGGTTTCCAAATACCCATGTCTTATAAGCATGAATTAAAAATTACTCTCATCTTGTGGCCTTCCAGCACTATTACAGGGATAAAAACATTACAACTATTTAAAATAAAAATAATCCTGTTAAAAGCTAAAATATACATATATTCTCAGCTATTTAAAACAACCTGTTGATAGACACTCAGCTTTCATTTGATTTGCACTTCATTTGCATTAATAAAAAGTAAACCATAAGCATTGTGATTTACAGTAATATAAAAGCTATTACAGAGGACCTTCATCATAAGCTTCTTTGTTGCAAAGCTATTGCATCTTGCTTTCAATCACTAAACGCCATTAAAAACATTTTCTAATACAATACCGCTTGCTATAGTACATGAATTCCTTTGCTTCAGAGAATGGCCTTATGAAATCACACTTTGTCTCTTTAGAAACAAATAGGTTACTTATTCATTTGGTTTTAAATGAAAAAAAAAGTTTCCAGGCGTGAAAGTCTCAGCCACAATTTTGCAGAGAGACCTTCAAGACCAGATCCATCCAAAAAGTCCATAGTATCTTTGTATTCTCCTTTATTTGCCTTTGACATCTATACCAACTCTCAGGCAGGGAGGATGTAGATACCCAAATAAACTAATTCCTCCTCTCTTGTGACTCCATATTTACCTTAGTTTTGCATTCTCTCCAAATGATGGTGCCTGAAATAACAATGTCCCCAATACTGGCCCAGTCTGTTGATTTAATAATGTCTTGAAAGAAGAGAACAACTCACAGATGCTACATCTAGACTGTACGCCTTTTTCGAAAGTGGCTTTTTCGACAGCATCTTTCGAAAAAGCCTCTGTCAAAAAAGAGCGTCTAGATTACATTGTGCAGATTGAAAAATTGATCCACTTTTTCCAAAAAGAGCGTTCAGCAGTTGAAAAAAGAAGGCACCCGGAAGTGCTTCTGGCAGAGCATGGGGGCAGCCTTTATTACCAGGTGTTGCTGTATGCCCTTTGCAGAGATGCGAGCTTAAAGGGATCCCCCTGGACAGCTGTTGCTCTGCTCCTACTTCTGGCTTGTCTACCTCCTAGAGGGAAAGCAAAGCTTCTGCAGTGCTTTCTCTGGTTGCCCTGATTCCTCAGACACCACAGCAGTTTATTTGCAGGGTTCTTTCTGCTTTTCAGTGTGTTTTTGGCCATGGAGCCTGAGCTGCCCCAGCGCAGGCGATGGCCCCACGCTGCCATAGTGCAGCATGACTCTGTCATGAATCTCCTGCTCCATATGAACCCAGACTGCACCAAGGAGACCCTCCTTCAGGATGCAGGAGCTCTGTCCTTGCCCCCAAACTTTTTTGGGGACAGGCAGATTTGGAGGCATGAAATGAATTCGGACTGATGGGACTGGCTCGTCATGCAGCTCTGGGACAACGAACACTGGCTCCACAACTTCTGGATGTGGAAGGCCACATTCCAGGAGCTGTGTGTCTGGCTCACCCCTGCTCTGGAACACCAGGACACCCACCTGCGGCCTGCCATCCCCCTGCAGAAGCACGTCGCAATCGCCCTGTGGAAGCTGGCCACCCCCGACAGCTACCGCTCCATGGGACACCAGTGTGGGGAGGTCTACCGTCAGGGCCATCTTGATGGAGGTAAGTCACTCTCAGGGGACAGGCCCTGCTGAGTGGGAGGGTTGAGAAAGGGGGACTGCCAAGCAAGGGCAAGAGGGAGTGGGGGATGGAGTGGCACTCGGAGGCCACTCCTTGGCCACCCCTGCACTGATGTGGGGAGAGGGGGTATCCTGACAAGGGGATGGGTGAATCGGTGGCGGCGGGGGGGGGGGGTCTCCTCCCAAGTGCTTAAATAACCTGTCTAACTCCCTGGTTTCTGTCTGTCTATTTGTCTGGTGCTGCAGGTGGCGAGAGGACCTGGAAAATGTCATTGCCAGGTTTGCCGCCCTTGGCTTCTCAAACTGAGGAGGAGCCCTTGATGGGACACGCATCACAATCTGCGCACCGCATCGAGCAGCCCAGTTCATAAACAGGAAAGGTTACAATTCCATCATGCTGCAGGCCCTCGTCGACCGATGGGAACACTTTATGGACATTTGTGTTGGGTGGTCGGGGCAGGCACATGATGCCCGCATATTCCGTAACTCCTACCTGTTCCGCAGGTTGCAGGCAGGAACATTTTTCCCACAGCAGCACCTCACGCTCGGGGATGTGCAGATGCCGGTGTGCATAGTGGCCAACTGATGCTGTGGCTCATGAAGTCCTACACCAGCCACCTGGACGTGAGTGAGGAGCTTTTCAACATGCATCTTAGCCAGGCTCGCATCCAGGTGGAATGTGCCTTCGGCCAGCTGAAAGGGAGGTTCCGTTGCCTCCTCACATGCCTGGAGATGGGCAAATGCAACATCACGGAGGTGGGTGGCCACATGTTGCATCCTCCATAACCTGGTGGAAAGGAATGAGGAGGCCTTCCTGCTGGGATGAGGGAACAGGTGCTGATGGCGAGGAGAGGCAATTTCAGCAGCCCCAGACAGTTGCCATCTGCCAGGCTCACCAGTCTGGTGTCCAAATCCGAGAGGCCCTGAGAGAGAGATTCTCAGAAGGAGCCCACTGATTTTCTCCAGGGCCTCCCCCATGGGGGGGTTGGCCTGGCCCACCTCTACCTTTCCCTCCACAACCCTCACTCTCTTCCCATTAAGAAGACATAGACCCAGTTTTCTTTGTAAACAGATTTTTTTTTTATTAGAAACAGTAGCAGTACAGAACAGGTGCAGACTGAGTATAAATCACCTTTCTCTTCTTACTGTTCAACTGTTTATAAACAATGTAAATCTGTCACTCAAAAATAAAGATTTTGTTACATAACTGAAATGTCCTTTAACTGGAGTGGTAGGGGACTGAAAAATCTGGAGCGGGAGGGGGCTAAAGTAGGCCGCTGTTTCCCTGATCGCAGGGTCCTGCCACCTTCCTGCGTCCTGGCATCGCCATGCCTTTGGGATCGGGTGGAGCGAGAGCCAGACCTGGCCTGGGCAGGAGGGGGGCAGCTGTTGGGCCTGTGAGGGCTCAGGAGCAGGAGGGACTGGGGGAGAAGGGGGCCTGTCATGCAGGAGGAGTGGTGCCCGTGACAGGGGCAGGCAAGGCTACGACCTCCAGCATAGTGGCACAGATGGAAGTGTGCTGCTGTACCAGCTCATCCAGCAGCCTGTTGCACCACTCGGCCTCTGCCTCCATCCTCTGCTGGAGGGTCCTGTTCAGGTCCTTCAGCAGGTCCATGTAGACTTGCCAGTGCCTGCAGGTGCCAAGGGTCCGGGATGGTGGTAGGGCGGGTGTGGTGTTCCCCTGTTCGATAGAGGGTCCGGCTGTGGAGGAAAAGAGGAGGAGACAATCAATGTCTGTGTGCACCCCTGCTGTCCCCGAGGGCAAGCCATCGCTGTCAGGGACTCTCCTTCCATCAGGAGACTCAGGGGTGTTCCACATGACACCATGTGTGAGTTGGGCAGCAGCCTGAAAGCCTCACAGGCGCCCCACAGTGGCAATGGGACTAGATGACCCCCCATAATGCCAACCTGCCCGTGTGTGGTGACCCCTCAAAGCACTCACCTGATGTTCCCTCCCCGATATCCACGGACACCTGGGAGGCCTCTGGGGTCTGGAGGACCGGCTCCTGAGAGACGGTCCCTGCTGCCTCCTCTTCCTCCTCCTCCTCCTCCTGGTGCAGCTCTTCTGCCTCGTCTTCCTCCCTCAAGGGTCGGTCCACGATGTGGTGGGGTAAACCGGACTCCACTACATGCAGTGGAGTCTGGGCTTCCCCACTGCCCAGGATCTACTTCAACTCCTGGTAGTAAGGGCAGCTCTCTGGGGCTGCCCCGGAGCGGGAGCTCTGGTCTCAGGCCTTGGCATATCCCTGCCGCAGCTCTTTGACCTTGGCCCTCACTTGTGCCATGGTGCAGGGGTGATGCCCAAAAGGGGGTGATGCCCTTTGGTGGTCAGTCCCTGGGCCATGTGCCGATATATGTCTGCATTCCTGTGGCGTGGCTGCAGGGCTTGCAGGGCTTCTTCCTGGAACCAGAGCTCCGGCAGGTTTTTTATTTCTAGCTCTGACCAGGCTGGTGCCCACCTTTTGGTGCCCCTGAGTGGGTCCTCCTCTGTCCCGAGAAGGGCCAGAGGGGCCTTGAGGCTGGGACATGGCTGGCACGGGTGCTCTGGCTAGCTGCCGGACAGCAAGGCCTGTCTGGGTGCCTGTGCCTTTAAGAGGCCGAAGTCAGGAACCACAGAGGTGATCTACATGTAAAGGCTAGACTGTCCACCAGGGCTTCTTCCTGGAGGCCTTTTTTTTTTTTTTTTTTTACAGAACTGGCTTCCTGCGTCCACACGCACCTTTTTTCGACAGATCTCTGTCGAAAAAAGCATTCTTCTTTGTAAAACGAGGTTTACCGTTGTCGACAAAACCACTGTGTTCTGTCGACTTACTGTTGACAGAACGTGGCGGTAGTCTAGATGCAGGTATAGGTTTTTTGAGGGTTTTTTTTCCAAAAAAGGCCACTTTTCGAAAAAAGGCCACCCGGAGTAACTAACAGCACATCTGAGAGAGATTTCTATAGAACTCTCCCAAGGGCATAGATTGGCTTCAGTGGAACACTGACTTCAGTGGAAGTCATAGTTAAACTTAGGCACATTCTACAGACTATGACCCAAAGCTTACCCAATTCAGCAGAAAACTTTCCACAGACTTCAGTGAGCCCTATGTGCTTTGATGAATAGAGATGGGCTTAATTACATACTTAAAGCATGTGTGTTGCTGAACTGGAAACTAACAGACCAGAGCAAAGCCCACCAATGTATGAATTTAGTAAGATTATAACCTAGATGAATATTTCTGTGTGTAAAATATGAAAGCTTATGTGTAAGCAAAACAAAGAATAGGGCTAATACAATCAGGGTGTATCAGACTGACTTTCATTAAGATTCAGTAACACTTCATTAGTATTCCACGTATTCACTAGTATTCTAAGGCAAAAAACTATATTAAAATGGAGTTAAGGCTGGGAGTCTGTATCAATAATTTAAGGGTACAAATATTATAAGGCTGTTATAATTATCCCAAACCAAACATCACAAAACTGAGAAATTCAGAGAAAGTTAAACTTAAAACAGTGGTCCCCAACGCGGTGCCCATGGGTGCCATGGCTCCCGCCGGGGCATTTATATGCACCCACCGAGTGACCAGGGCCAGCTTTTTTGTGCAAAAGCATCCGTGCCAGTGTAGACGCTCTCTTGTGCAAATATTTTTAATGGAAAAACTTTTCCGTTAAAAGTATTTGTGCAAAATCATGCTAGTCTAGACACAGCCTCACTGTCAAGCCACCTCACTTACTGATTTTTTTTAAAAGGTAAGAAGTCTAGGGTGAGCCTTCTTACTGAGGGTACGTTTACACTGCAACTCCATTTTGAAATAACTAGTGCATCTACACAGCAGGCAGTTATTTCAAAATAGTGTCAAAATACTGTTAAGCTGAAGGACTTCTTACTCTGACTTCTGTAACTCTCATTGTCTGAGGAATAAGGGCTCTATTTCGGAGAGGAAGAGTGCTCTATTTTGGAGGAAGAGCGCTCTATTTCAAAATAAGTGCTGTGTAGACACTCCCAATTTCAAAATAAGCTATTTCAAAATAAGTTATGCAATTGATGTAGCTCAATTTGCACAGCTTATTTCAAGTGAAGCCTTGCAGTATAGGCACACGCTGAGTCTGTGAAGAAAATTCGCTAAAAATGAAAACCAATATTTTAAATAGCTATTTTGCGGGTGAGGGGTCATTACTGTTTCCATTTTGTCTTTTTGTTACTAAATTCTCAACTTCGCATGCAAACTTACACCCCCCATATCTGATGTCTCCATCCTATTTTGACCAAATTCACAAAATTGGATATAGCTCTGCATATTACTTCACAGGGTTTCAGTAGATCATGTATTTAGAAGAGCTTGAAAACTGCCTAGTGGTTTAGAGACATGATTAGTCTTCCTTGTGAGTCCAGCAGGCAAACAGCAGTGAGTTCACATGCTTAGAGGGCTTAGCTTGTGCATGCATGTAACTTAAATACCTGCTTGGCACCATTTGCCCATAGCTGAACATGCTTGATGCTGCTTTCATTTCATCCTTCTGTTCTGTCTTCCTTAGCAGGAGATTCAACAGCTGTAACAACACATGGAGGCTACTTGGCAGCTGCAAAGCACAGATGCTGAGTTTGGTAATACACTTTTCCTTCTAGAATCATGTGAGTGTTTTGCTGGCTGCTGGAAAGTTTCCATTGGTGTCTGAATAGCTTGCTCCACAACCAGCTACAGTCTGCTGATGGTTGTGTCCAATCACCTCTGGAATATTGGGATCAATCTGACTGATGAGCAAGATCACTTACCTTGTCCTTTAAGATGCTGCTATCATTTGTCCCTCTTTGCTGGTGAGAGATTTGTTTGCATTAGCAGCATTTATTTAAGAAAGAGATCTTTTATGAAATGTTACCGGGCCTTTGTTTTTATATTGAGAGATATATCAAGGCAGGCAATCCTTACTACACATGACATTTAAAAATAACAGAATAGATTTACCAAGCAAATTAATGGTTAAAACCAAACTCCTTGCAAGATTTTCTTTTTCTTTTTCTTTGCCAAACAGTGCTTAAAACGTAAGATTCTTTTCCTACAAGAAAGAACACACCTCATCAATTTTTTTTAATATGAACATTTGACAGACATGTCTGGTTTGATGAATATGTGTTATCAGGATAATAAGCTCAACAGAAACAGCTCATCCTGGAAAGTGTAAAAAGGCTCAGTAATATGGTAACACCCTGATATATAGTAAGATCTGATAGTGCTATAATATTTACCTAAAGAAAAGCTCACTGTTGTAATGATCATTGTTTTGGTTTTGATATTACATGGCAAGGATTTGAAAATTTGTTAAAACTATGTAAATACATAGATATAAAATACCCAAACACCAGGGCTGTGTCTAGACTGGCAAGTTTTTCCGCAAAATCATCTGCTTTTGCGGAAAAACTTGCCAGCTGTCTACACTGGCCGCTTGAATTTCCGGAAAAGCACTGACGATCTCATGTAAGATCGTCAGTGCTTTTCCGGAAATACTATGCTGCTCCCGTTTGGGCAAGTCTTTTTCCGAAAGACTTTTGCACAAAAGGGCCAGTGTAAACAGCACAGTAGTGTTTTCTGCAAAAAGCCCAGATCGCGAAAAAGGCGATCAGGGCTTTTTGGTGGAAAATCGCGTCTAGATTGGCCACAGATGCTTTTCTGCAAAAACTGCTTTTGCGGAAAAGCATCCTGCCAATCTAGACGTACTTTTCCGAAAATGCTTTTAACAGAAAAGTTTTCCGTTAAAAGCATTTTCGGAAAATCATGCCAGTGTAGATGTAGCCTATGATTTTCTTGAGAGTTCAACAAATATGAAGCTATATACATACACACACAAAGAATCCCAAACACAAAAACTTCACTATAACCTACACCCATATTTTTAAATGGTGTTATAACTGGGCTATTAAAAGTTCAGAAAAATCTTTTTCTTTTTCCTCAGAAAATTTCAGTTAAATTAGTTTTAATTGCAATTTCCTGTGGAAAAATTTGACTGTAAAAATGAGTATCAAATGTTGTGAGCTGAGCTCCCACGAAGGGGAGAGGAGATGGGCTGATTGTGAAACCCCATTGCTCAGAGGACCAAGGCAACTGTTTGTCGTGTGTACCTTAACCAACCATCTCCCTGGGTTTGCCCATACTGATGGAGGAGTACATGTTACTTGAAATATAGGGCTGTGTGCAAATTCATCTGAGAGCCAGAGGGAACACTGGGGCACAGATGACTAAGTGCTGGAACAGCGATGATGACTAAGTCAAAGGTGACTAAAGTTAGGTATCTTAACTTGGTGGCCTGATTTTCACAGATGGTCTGATTTTTCACAGCAGCCTTAACTCGTATTGATTTCAAATGACCAGGGCTCGAAAAATTATGGAAAACCCTATTCACCAGACAAAAAAGGGACTCACAATCTTCCCCGCCCCGCCCCCAAAAGTGGGTTTTTTTAATGGGCATAAATTCCTAATAAGAATAAGAACAGTAATTACTAATATGTTCTTAATAAATATCACCCAAGTTATTAATAAATAGCTTATAAACTTCTACCTTTTCCCTCTGTTGCCATGTCTCCTCCCCTTGCTCCATCAGCTCCCCTGGTGCCTGCAGCCCCCCAACCCCTCACCCTCCTCTGCTGTCCTGACTCCTGCCCTTTTCGCTGCCCTCATCCTTCCTGAGACCTGCCCCCTTCCTCCAGCCCTTCTCTGCCCCCTGTGCCCACTCCTCCAGTAGCCCCACTCTGATCATGTGAGCTACCCCTCCTCATCCCCTCTCCTAACACCTCCCTCTATACACCTGCCCTGCCTCTCTCCACTGGTGCTGGTCCCTCCCCTGCAGGTGTCTGCCCTTCTGCTTCACCCCCAGAATCTCCTGGCACCTGCACTCTCCTGGTTCCTCCCCCTTCCCTCACTGCCCGTGCCCCCTTTGCCCTCCTTTTCTCTGCTACCCACCCCCTCAGCACCCTCTGTCCCCATTCCCCTCATGCCCCTGTGACCTCACACATGCCTTTCTCAATGCCCGCCTTCCTCATGCCCACCCCTTCTTTCAAGCCTTCTCCCAGCACCTCCCCCTCCTCCCTCTAGGCCCCAGTGCCCTTACCCTCTCCTCTCCCAGCATCACCCTGTTCCCCTCTCCCACTGACATCTCCCCTCCTGCCCTTTTCCTCATTGTCTGCACTTGGCCCCCTGGGATTTGTCTCTCCTGCACCCCTGTCCCTTGGCGCCTTCCCCTTTCTTCTTCTTCTTCTTCTCCTGATCCCCTCCCCTCCCATACCCACATTGTTTGCTGCCCCCCCTCCTTTTTTGTTGTCTTTTACACGTTTGCATTTTGCAATGGGGTTTTTTTTGTTTGTTTTCATTTTTGTCCTGGCATTTTAGCCCTATAAATAGAAAATAGCATTTTCATTCATTTTTTTCCATAAAGGCAAAGGCGCTTCAAGTGAACTCCCCCTTTCACTCGCTGCTGGGTCACAGAAGCCTTTTCCTAGCCCTGTCCAGCCCCTCCCTATGGACAAGCACCCCTCACTCCCAACCCACAGAGGAAACAGGGTGCAGGGACAGCAAAGAGCTAGAGGGGCGCCGGGAACAGTGTGTGGGGGGGACAGGGGTGGCACGGGGAACAGGAGGCACAGAGGCAGAGGGAAGCAGGAATCGGGGGGAGCAGTGTGCAGGGTGTGGTGGAGGCACGGGGAATGGGACGCAGGGAACGGGAGGGGCAGAGGGATCGGGGTCTAGGGGCAGTTCAGGGAATGGGCAGCACAGAGCTGGGAGGGAGCAGGGATCGGGGGGAGCAGGGTGTGGGGTGCAAGGGTGGCGCAGAGCCAGAGGGAGAGCAGGGGATCCGGGGTGCAGGGTGCAGAGGCGACGTGGGAAATGGGCAGCGGGAGCCAGATAGGGTGTGGGGCGGGCACAGAGATGGGATCGGGAGGAGCAGCGTGCAGGATGCAAGGGCAGCGCAGAGCCAAAGGGTCGCAGGGAAGAGGGAGAGCAGGATGTCCGGGGAGCAGGGGCGGCATGTGGAACGTGCAGCTCCCAGGGACATGCAGCCAGAGCCGAGCTGCCGCGGCCCTTTAAAATCGGTGGGGCCACGTTACACCAGCGTCCTGGTGTCTGCCGGCACTCCACCTCCTCGCGCCGCAGCTGCATGGAGGCAGCCCGGCGCTGAGAATCGCTGTGGTTCCCCGCCCCAGCAGTGCTCTATTCCTTCGCCGGCTGGCAGATTGGATGGGGCTGCGCTGCCCGTAGTGCGGGCTTCAGCCAGCCCGTTACAATGGCCCACCGGGCCAGTCCGCCCCTCCACTCGCCAGCTGGCAAAATCTACTCACCACGGGCGAGCGGGCAAGTGCATTTATCGAGCCCTGCAAATGACAAATGTCATCAAGTGCTTCACACATACAAAAACCAACCGACTGTTCAGACGTCTGCAAATGAACGTGCTTAACTTTGGGCCCCCAAATTTGAACATTTTGACAATAGTTTCTAAAAAAGCACAAAATATGCATTTTTACAAAACTCTATATACATTTATATCCACCATATGAACATTTCTTTAGCCCTGTATGCAATTCTGAGGTGTTAGTTCCTGGGATTACTTTAGGAATTGAGGACTTCTTTAGGATTTCTTTAGTTTTGATTCGCATTTGATTTCTTTAGTTTTGATTCACATTTGATTCCCTCAGTGCTGCCTGGAACATGCAGTGTGGTCCTCTGTCAGCAATTTAAAGGGCCTGTCACCTTTGAATCACGGGACCATGGGGCAACTGCCCCATTTGCAACCCCCGTTCATGGGCCTTGGGATGCTCAATACCCCTGAAAAGTCAGACCCTAAGTGTTTTCGTCTCAGATATCGTATTGGGCTGAGGGAGGCAATTGGATAATTCAAATTAGACAATAAAATGAACTCACACTACGAACTGTGCTAGACACAGTTTCTTTGGCCCTCTGTCAGATTTCACAATCAACCTCTGGATTTAGTTTTACCCATCTGGACCTAGTCCTTTCTGCCCCTCAGTAGATTAGTCTTTCCCTCAATGGGGGAACTTGTATAGTCTATACACCCTGCAGACTATGTAACTCATTTGAGTACCACCAACATTCAGCTATTTCTCCTGCTTGGAAGCACTTAGGTGACAATGCTGTTGGTTTGCAAAGTGGTTCTAAGCATGTCCTCTTCATCAAAAGCACCATCATCCCTGGAAAAATATGTACCATGGTCTCTATAGAATGTCCCAGTTGACAAGAGGATAAGGATAATTGTGAATATTGACTATTCAAATTCTTTCCTTTGTGATCCTGCTTTCGTTAATATTGGTTTGGTGGCAACAGCCATGGTCAACTCTCACCCGAACTGTAGACATGTGGTGACTGACTCTGATCTCTCTTACACTGGTTTTATAGCAGTGTAACTCCCCTAACTTCAGCCGAGTAACCGCTGTTTTGCAATGTGGTCCAGGCATTGTCTACCTGGTGCAGCAATTCTTACTACCAGGGTGTAATTTCTAGCACGCATTAACAGGTTGCACATGGAGTGGTGTATGTAGATGCTACTGGGCCACACTGAAAATTCTCTAGTGCACATTAATCAACTGTTGGTTCAAAGAGTACAAGATTAATGCTTATATTTCCCACAGAACAACATTTTCAGAAGAAATGTCTTTTCAGAAATCTGTTTCAATAATTTTGAAATGTTTCTTTCTGATTTTAAAAAACTTGATATTATCATTTATAACATAATATGCCAGAAAATGGAATTTTAGACAAAATGTCATAGGATATAGGATAGGATATATCTACACTTGCAGCCTATTTCGGAATAGGGCTGCAAATGTAGGCATTCGGAATTGCAAATCAAGCCTGGGATTTAAATATCCTGCGCTTGATTTGCATCTTCCCAGCCGGGCGCCATTTTTGAAATTTACAAGCCCGGAATAACTGCCTCATTGCAGGAGGAAGAACAGGTAGTTCGAAATAGAGCTTTAATTTGAATGCCCATTTCACTGCCGCGTGTAGACGCAGGCAGTTATTCTGGGCTTGTAAATTTCAAAAATGGCGCCCGGCTGGGAAGATGCAAATCAAGCGCAGGATATTTAAATCCCAGGCTTGATTTGCAATTCCGAATGCCTACATTTGCAGCCCTATTCCGAAATAGGCTACAAGTGTAGACAAACCCTTAGAAATGGAAAACTGAAATGCTCTATCCTGATAAGGTTGAAATGGAAGTTGCTGGCCTTTTTAATTTTTTCCCCAAAATTAAATTACACCAAAGCAGTCATATTCTTGGGTAAAGTTTTGATGTTAATGACTTTACCAACAGTAAAATATTCTGTTGGCAAAATTTTTACATTTCTACTGAAGACCTAAAAAAACTGAAGGAAAAAGGCAATATGAGGAGTTTTTATATGCCCAACATTTCTCAGGCTGTGGGGAATATTCAAAGCAGAAATAATCTCTGAGATTTCTTCCTCTGTTAAAGCCAGTGACACTTCATTTCCTGAGCATATCCGAGAATGCATCAGTCGCTGACATCAAAGGTATCAGAAACCTCATTGCAAGGGACGAGAACTGACCTGGAAAAGGTAAGTTAAAACTATTTCTTCACGTCCTGCCCTTTCGCTCGGGAAATGGGGGCAGTCAAGCTGTATTTTGGAGCATCACTCAATTTTCATTTTAGTTTTTCATTTCACCTTTAAAAGGACACACACCTTTTGAGGAAAATTTGGATAAGGTTTCTTAAGAGGTAAAGTAACTGAATCCATCATGTCCCTCTTCCAAGCACACGTCTAATCTCTGTCTCCATCACCCACACATGAAATCCATGGGGTTTAGGATAGCATTCTTCATACAGAGGGACAAGGATGCTATTTCCTGACTGGTATGCTATCACCAGGACTTCTGGTATCTGAGGAAGGAGAGTGAGCAGTGAAATCTGCTGTCATAGCACTTTGCATTTTATTTATGACATGGCATCATCACTGTATACAACAGGCTCATGAACTTTGAAATCTGTATAGAGTAGAGGAACAACAACAGTGGCAAAGGGTCTCATTTTGATCTCAGTTACACCAGTATAAATCAGAAATAACTCCATTGAAGTTAGTGGAGTTACACTGGTGTAAAACTAATGAAAAGTGAGGTCAGGTACAATTAAAGGGCCTAAGAGTTTGTTTTCTTCTGACAAGCAAGACAGCTTGTGAGTTTAGTATTTCATAAATCTTGTGTGTTTGGAACTGGACAGTCAGCATGATGGGAAGGGAGTGGTTAGAGTCTGGGCTGCAGGATGGTTTATCACAGAAAAGATTTGCAGAAGTGCATTGTAAAGAGGAATTTGAAGTAAGAGAGTGTGGTCAATAGGGACCTAGAACGTCATTGAAGGCATAAAGATCAGTATGAAAGGCACCTTTGAGATAGGAGCAGGTAGAGCCAAAGGCAGGGGCAGGCAACAGAGTGGATGCAAAGTAAACTAAAGAAAGGGTTGTAGGTAGAAATGTGACCGGAGAGGTGAGCAGGTATGGAAATACAAAATGCTTTGAAAATGAAGACCAGCAGCAAGAACTTGATGCCAAAAGCAAATGGGACTCACCGAAGAAAAAGTACCAGGGGAAGGACATGGTCCTAGTTGGGGGAGAGAATGGAGAGAGGTAACTAGTGGTGTCCTGCAGGGATCTGTCCTGCAACCAATCCTATACGACATATTCATAAATGATCTGTCGAATGGGATAAAAAGTGATGATACTAAACTGTTCAAGATAGTTAAGTCCAAAGCAGACTGTGAAGAGTTTCAGAAGGATCTCATGAAACTAGGTGATCAGGGAATATAATGTCAGATGATTTTTAATGTTGATAAATACAAAGTAATGCATATTGGAAAACACAATCCCAGCTATACGTACAAAATGTGACTAAATTAGCTATTACTCAAGAGAGAGATCTTGGGATTATTGTGGACAGTTCTCTGAAAACATCCACTCAATGTGTTGCAGCAGTCAAAAAAGCAAACAGAATGTTAGGAATCATTTAAAATGGGATAGAAAATAAGACAGAGAACATCTTATTGCCTCTATATAAATCTGTGGTAAGCCCATGGTACTGCATGCAGATATGATTGCCTCATCTCAAAAAAGATATCTTGGCATTAGAAAAAAGTTTAGAGAAGGGCAACAAAAATTATTAGGGGTTTGGAACGGGTGATATATGAGGAGAAATTAATTAAACTGTGGCTTTTCAGCTAGAAAAGAGGAGACTAAGGAGTGGGAGAAAGCAGATAAGGAAAATTATTTGTTTTCTCCCATAACCCAAGGACTAGGGGTCATCAACTGAAATTAATAGGTCGGAGGTTTTAAACAGCAAAAGGAAGTATTTCTTCACATAATGCCCAGTAAACCTGTGGAACTCCTTGCCAGAGGATGTGGTGAAGGCTAGGACTTTAACCAGGTTCAAAAATAACTAGATTAATTCATGAAGAATAGGTCTATCAGTGGCTATTAGCAAGGATGGGTAGGAATGGTGACCGTAGCCTTTGTTTGTCAGAATCTGGGAATGGCTGACAGGAGAGTGATCACTGGGGGCATGTCTACACTGCATTGTTATTTTGAAATAACAAGGTGAGCGTCTACATATGCACACCCAGGAGCAGCTGCGCATGAGCTGAGGCAGGCCTACACCCCAGTCATGACCCTATTTGGACCAGTTCCACCACATCCTGGGGGGGGGGGAGCAGTCCTTCCCCTCCCCCACATTGTGGAATGCAGGCTGGAGAAGTCTGTTGTCAGCCTACCAGAGGGCATGGCTGTGGATGAGGAGAAGGATGAGGAGGTGCAGGAGGAGGGGAAGGAAGATGAGGAGACCAACATGTACGTGATGCCTGCCAGACAGGTCATTCTGGCCCTGGAGCCGGAACCCACCTCCCAGGATGTCTCCCAGGGAAGAATCGAACGTAGTCTGAGGCAGGCTCCATTAATGAGGACACGCTACCTCGGACTCAGAGCCCCAGGAAGCACTCTGGGGAGCTGTGGGAGGCCTGTCAGAGGCCAATTAGTTTGAATTAGCGGCACTGGCGTGTCCACGCTAACGTTATTTTGGACGTACAAGTTTGGGAATAGCGTTATTCCTCATGAAAAGCAGGACTACAGCATGTGAGTTCCACGGCCCCGTATTCTAGAACAACAGGCTTGGTAGTTTGGATGCGTTGCTTACAAATTTAACCTGGGAGGGGCTAATTTTGGACTAAGGGGCTAGTGTAGACCAGCCTAGGTGAGATGTAAAAGTGCTTATGGACCCTTTTGGCTATACCTGGTAGGTTTAAGTGAAGCTCATGTTCACAGTGACTGACAGAGGCCAATGAGAAATGAGTCTGGTGGCACCAGTGCAGTTCCCAGACAACAGGTTTCGACACACAAGGAAACATTCCCCTGGCAGGTACCCACAGGGGCACTTTTAGCAGAGAGGAGTCAAAGAATAAACAAAGGTATAGAGCCCAGAACTGTACCTTTCATCTCAACTGGCTCACAGCAATAGTACGTTGCAGGAAAGCTGCCATCTATTCTGTGGCCAAGTAGAAGACTCTTGTAGCCAGAACTCCAGGCCTGCATCTTTCACAAGTGCTGCTTTCACATGAACAGTTTGTAAAAGTTAAAAGGGAAGGCCTGTTTCTAGTGGGTGCAGGAAATGTGCTGCTTGCTTCCTTTACACTGACGTTAAGGGACTGCTCTTTCTGCCTCCTTCTTAGTAGGGATAACGTGGTTTCAAGACTCACTGCTGGATAGGGGAAGACTCTATCAAACAATTCCAAGCACATAACATTTCCTCTCATTGGTTTGTTGTCTGATGTGCACGGTATGAATCTTATAAGAGCTTATATGGCTGTTCTCTTCAGATGGAATGGACACTTGATATTTGTTTTACTCTAGGATCCATCACTTGAAAACTTCCTCTTAAAGAAGATATCTCCTTTAAGCATAGTCAGCATAGTCTGTTTGCATTATAAACTGTGTCCATGAACGTTTTGGGTACTCATCCTGCTAAGGAATCCATGACCATTGACATGGTCCTGTTGACTATGAAGCCCTCGAGTTGTTTCTGCTGATACCTTTGCAGTGGCTCAGATGCTGAAGTCCAAAAACCATTTTCACTGTTCCTCTCATAATACATTTTTGGAGACTAATACCAACACTGATCTTTATTATGCATAGTGAGTAATCTGTCAGGGTATGTCTACACTACCCTCCTAGTTCGAACTAGGAGGGTAGCGTAGACATACCCTGAATTAGTATCTTCCTATTCATAGAAGATCAACATAAGTAAAGCTTGGAGTTCATTCAAAAAAAAAAAAGGTGTTTTACATTGAGATTGTTTACTCAAGATAGCTGTCATCTCAATGTAAAACTCTAGTGAAGAAGACAAAGCAAAAGGGAGGTTTTACTTTGATTTTGCTAGACAAGGTCAATGTCCGGGGTTCAAACCAGCGGGGTTTTAAAAATGGCGGTTCCCCGCTTATGCAAACGAAGCCTGGGAAATTCAAATCCCAGGCTTCATTTGCAAGTGCGGTATGCCTACATTACCCCGCTAGTTCGAACTAGTGGGGTAGTGTAGACATACCCTCAGTTACTGCTGCTCAAGGATTCTGGGTGCCTTCACAGAGCATATCTAATAACAATATATTAAACTAAAAGCCAGTGTTCTCTCAGAGAAACCACAGACCTAGAGAAATACCTACTCTCCAATAATACAACTATAAGGCCTGTTGCAGCAGATGCCTTTATTCTGCTTTGTTTGAAAACATGTGAAGTGTTTATTTTTCATTCATACTATCTCACTATTACAGGTTTCCTTTACAGCATGGGTTGTTTCAAATGTATCACTGAAAAAAAAAAAGGCCCAATGATTTTTATCTGGGGTTGAGACTTTCCAGTAGTGATCGGTCACACACAGCATTGATCACAACCTCTATAACACTTTGTTTTCATTGTATCTCTCACCGGTCTGGATGTCCAGTAAGTGAAATGTATTGTGAGAACTTTTCTTCTGTGCTTTAAAGGTAAATATTACACACAGAGACAAAAAAAAACCTAAACAAACAAAGCTACAGTGGTTAGCAGACGGGCATTGAAGATCACATAGTGACCCCCTTATGCCCAGTAAAGTTAATTGGATTGGTCATGTGAATAATAATGTGTCCCTCAACAAACATTTACTAAATAAGGCTCTGCTCCTGGAAATATGATCTGTCCTGCATAACTTTCCATATACAAGTATCGCCGTGGAATTCAGTGAAATTAGCTGCATATGTAGGTTACTCCCGTCCCTCAGTGTTTGCAGGATTGGGATCTGAGGCTCTGTGGGTGGGGAGAGTTAGAGGTGAACAGTTCTTATACTCCAAGGTTGTGTCTACATTGGCAAGATTTTGCGCAAAAGTGGACGAGAGTCTACACTGGCCACGAGTTCTTGCGCAAGAACACTGACGTTCTAATGTAAGAAATCAGTGCTTCTTGCACAAGAACTCTGATGCTCCCACTCAGGAATAAGCCCTCTTGCGCAACTGTTCTTGTGTAAGAGGCCAGTGTAGACAGGCAACATGAATTTCTTGCACAAGAAAGCCCGATGGCTAAAATGGCCATTGGAGCTTTCTTGAGCAAGAAAGCATCTACACTGGCACGGATGCTCTTGTGCAAAAGCACATCTCTTGCGCAAAAGCACATGCCAGTGTAGACGCTCTCTTGTACAAATACTTTAACGCAAAAACTCTTGCATTAAAAATATTTGCGCAAAATCTTGCCAATGTAGACGTAGCCCAAGGTTCTTTAGGCATGTTGGAAAATCTCCACCTTAAAAACATTGAATGTTCAGAGGACTCCTTAAAAATCACTGGCCATTTCCCCATTGCACTGTTGTGCCTCAGAATCTTGTCCTCCGAGGCGCTGAGCTCCTCCTGAGCACCCACTCCTCCAGCTGAAATGCAGGCGAGTGGAAGGCAGTGGGTAGACCCTTTCCAGATGTGGCTGTATCTCAGTGCCATTTTAATGATCCTTCCCCACCTGCAGGCTTTCTTTGAGAATGCACAGGACAGAGAATTCAGGTTCCATTTGAACAACTTCCAAACCAGGGGGGTATCAAAGCTGCTGGATGTTACATTCTCTCTCTCACTCTCATTTACAGTAGGTGGTTAATTGAGCTGGCCACTGGAAAATGAGCCATTCTTTTGAGGGGGAACCTGCTCCCAAAGTTAAATGGTGAGTGTGTTTTGCCTCCCTGACAGCTATCACTGCATAAAACCTCACTGTCTTGAAGCAACCTTCCTGGAAATTGGAGAAGGAATATAAGTTGCATGAAGTAAAAGTTTGGGAGCAGACACCAGGAAGCTGCTTTCTGTTCACGTTGCTGGAGTGCTTGCAGCCACCCTGCAAATTGCTCTTTCAATAATGAGCCTGCTTAGGTTAAGAAGCATGGAGCATTCGGTCCATGCACAAGAGGAGACTGGTGGCTGGTGCAGGTAGCAGAGGATGGATGAAAGAGTTGGTGGATGGGATGTGCTGGTGATGAAAGGCTGCATCCCCACTTTCAGCTTCTTGAACAGTAGCTGCTGATCCAGCCTCTTGAATCCAGATCCTCAAAAGCAGTTAGGAGCCCAAATCCTGTGGAGATGAATGGCCCTTCCATACTCTTTGTCTCAGGAGCATTATGGACTATATGGAGTTAATGCTTGCAAAAGGATTTGAGTTTCTCGGATGGAACCTGCCTATCTTGTGATCCCCATTACTATGTGGGGGCAAAATAACACTGTAAAACTCGTATGTTGTTTTGCTGGTCTGTCACCCATTTCCATAGCCATGTGAGCTGTAGTTGGCAGCCCTAAGCTTGTCAATTTCAACAGCTTGCTGGATGCCCAGTGTGTAGTGAAAGGTTGCTAAAGCCATTCGTACTTTACAATTACAATACAATTGTACTTGTCTGGTACCTTTCAGCCCAGACACTGTCTCCTTTAGAAGTAGTTAATTCTATAAGACTTCAAAGAATCTAAGGGTATGTCTACACTACAAAGTTAATTCGAACTAACAGCTGTTAGTTCAAATTAACTTTAATAGGGGCTCCACATGCAAACCGCTATTTTGAATTTAATTTGAAATAGTGGAGCGCTTAATTTGAACTTGGTAAACCTCATTCTACGAGAAGTAATGCCTAGTTCGAATTAAGTACAGGCAGTCCCCGGGTTACGTACAAGATAGGGTCTGTAGGTTTGTTCTTAAGTTGAATTTGTATGCAAGTCGGAACAGGTACATATTGTAGGGGAAACTCTAGCCAAACATTTCTCCAGAGCTCAGTTTTATTCTCCCACACCTCACTTCCCTCAGTCCTTTATTCTCAAGCTGAAGTGTCTGCTGAGAAAAGCCACTCCGTGTCTCCCTGGTCTGCTGGGGGGGGCACTAGCTTCGCGTCTCCCTGGTCTGCTGGGGGGAAGCAGCTAGTGCCGGGTTGCCTCACCCGTTTGTAAGTAGGGATCCGATGTAAGTCGGATCCATGTAACCCGGGGACTGCCCGTAGTTCGAATTAAGGCCTGTGTAGCTACTTAATTCGAACTAGTTGGAGGCTAGCCCATCTCAGGTTGCCCTGGTGGCCACTCTGGGCCAAACCAGGAAAACTCTTCTGCCCCACTCCCAGCCGGGCTGGCTACGGTGCCCGTGCCAGTTGCAAGCCTGCCAGCACCCAGCCAGCAGACCCTGCACTTGGCACGGATCGAGCCACCCACCCGATGCCCCCCAGCCCTCCCCCTCTTCCCAGGACCAGACTGGCGGCTCACAGGAGCCTGCACGGGGCTGAAAAAGGCAGGTGCCCGCCTGGTATAGTGCAGAGATGGTGGACCTCATCGAGGTTTGGGGGGAGGCCTCCAACGTCCACGATCTCCGCACTAGGCACAGGAATGCAGCCGTCTACAGCCGCAAGGCTGCCAGCCAGGCCACCAGAGGACACATGTGGACCCAAGAGCAGGTCCGCTACAAGATTAAAGACCTGCTGCAGGCCTACTCCAGTGACCACATCCTGGGGGCTCATGCAGTCCATGCCCCCTGGGTGGTGATTGACCCCGGGGCAGAGGGACCCGTCCCAGACATGGAAGAGGAGGAGGAGGAGGAGGAGGAGGATGCCGAGAGCCAGGAGCCTGCAAGGAGCCTACCCAGGACCCCCAAGGAACCCCACAGATGACATCAGCTGTGTCATCCGAGGCCGGGGAGGGCTCCACATGTGAGTGCCATCATGCTCCCCTTATGTGTATGGGGGGGTGGAGAGGGAGCACAGGAACCGTGCACCTGGGCCTTGCCCACCATGGAGCAGCAGCTGGGTGTCATGCAGGGGCCCTGGACTGTTCCCCACATACTGACCTCGCCTTGCAGAGGGGGGCTGGGTTTCACCCACTGTGTCCCCAGGGAGAACTGACCACTGCTCTTGTTTCACCACAGCCGCAGCATCTGGGCCTGCAGGGCGCACCACCCTGCCTGCAACAGCCACCCACACCTGGGCCAGCAGGACTACCAGCAGCATCACCTGAGGCTACTGGAACACCAGCTCCGCACCCAGGACCACTGGGTCTGGGAGGACCTGCGGTTGCGGCAGCGGAGCTTGTAGGCACTGGAGGAGCAGGGCCGAGCCCTCTGAGGCCACCTCCAGACCTTGGTGGACAGGTTCCTGCCTCCTCCTGCTCCAGCCCCTGCAGTCACCCCAGCTCTTGCTCCTCCTCCCACCCCAGCTTCCCATCCCGCTTCCTCCACACCCCGCATCTCTCCTGCCCCACCCTCCACACCCACACGCCCCCACACCTGCACCCGCAGTGCTGCAAGACGGGAGAACCAGCAGGACCTCCAACCCTGAGATTTCCCTTCCTCCCCTTCCTCCCCCTTTGAGCTCCGTCCTCCCAGGTTTCCCCCTCCTCTCTCCCACCTTCCTTCCTCCTTTCCCCCACCCCAGTTATGTACAATAAAGAGAGGATTTTTTGGCAAAACAGGTGTTTTTATTTTACATTAGGAAGGGGGGTTAGGGAGGGGAAAGAGGAAGGAGGGGAGGGTGCAAGAAGGCCCCAGTGAGGCATGCAGGGAGAGTTCAGTCCTCCTCCACCTGGAAGCTCGCCCGCAGGCTTCCCGGAGCTGGACAGCCCTCTGCTGGGCCTCCCAGATGGCAGCGGTGTGGGGCTGCGTGTACTGGCCAGCCATGCGATCAGCCATCCAGGCTAGCAGGAAAGCCTCCCCCTACCACTCGCATAAACTGTGCAGCACACAACATGCTGCCACCACAGGAGGGATATTGTGCTCGGAAAGGTCGAGGCGGGTGCGGAGGCATTTAAATCGGGCTTTCAGGCATCCGAAGGCCCCCTCCACCACAATGCGGACCCTGGTGAGCCTGGAATTGAAGGCCTGCCAGGAAGGGTTGAGGTGCCCCGTGTACGGCTTCATCAGCCAAGGCTGTAGGGGAAAGGCGGAAAAGGCTGCATCCCCCAGCAGGAACACAGGCATGTCCACATCCCCAAGGGTATGTCTACACTACCCTCCTAGTTCGAACTAGGGGGGTAATACCGCACTCATTCCACGAAGAGTAATGGTAGTTCGGACTAGGAAGCCTAGTCCGAACTACCTAGTTCGTGCCGCGTGTACCCTCGCGGCACGGGGTTCGAACGAGCAGGGATTTAAAAATGGCGGCGCCCAGTTTATGCAAATGAAGCCCGGGAAATTCAAATCCCGGGCTTCATTTGCAAGTGTGGTATGCCTACATTACCCTCCTAGTTCGAACTAGGAGGGTAGTGTAGACATACTC